CTCATATAGATGTTAAACAGCATTGGGGAGATAATTGACCCCTGTGGGACCCCACAATTGAGATTCCACGGGGCCGAGACATTCTCCCCAAGCTGTACTCTCTGAGGTCGGTCCTCCAGGAAGGAACGGAGCCAGGCTAACGCCAAGCCACCTATTTCCAATTCAGAGAGCCTCCCCAGGAGGATACCATGGTCGACGGTATCAAAGGCCGCCGAGATGTGGAGGAGAACCAACAGAGACACTTTGCCCCTGTCAGCCGCCCTCAACAGGTCATCGTACAGGGCAACCAATGCCGTCTCTCTACCGTGGCATGGCCTGAAGCCCTACTGGAATGGATCCAGGGCATCTGTCTCATCCAAGTGGGCCTGAAGCTGATCAGCGACCACCCTCTCAACCACTTTGCTCATGAAAGGAACATTGGCGACGGGCCTATAATTGCCAATCTCGTCCGCCACCATATTAAGTTTCTTTCTAATGGGCCTAATGAGTGTCTCCTTGAGGGCAGATGGAAACGGGAAAGACCCATTTATTATTGCTGTGGCCCATTTTGTTGTTTTCGGCCTGGCTGCTTTGATTAGCCAGGCTGGGCAAAGGTAAAGGGAGGAGGTGGTGGCTTGACAGCGATCATGCACCTTGTCCACAGAATCAGGCATCACAGGGTGAAAGAAGTCGAAAATCACCGGGCAAGACGAAGCGCTGGACATCTCTGCTCGATTTACTGTGTTCAAAAAAGGAGAGAGGTCCCGGCGGATGGCCTCCACTTTAGATTTTTAAAATGCTGCAAATTGGTCTGGTGAAAAACTAGGGGGAGGCCCATCACTCAGACCAATTCCGGATAGGTCGCGCACTATACAGAATAGTTCCGCCTGCTGGTTGGACGCTTCGCTTATCCGGTTAGCGAAGTATGCTCGACTGGCAGCCTTTACCTTAGCCAGGTAAAGGTTAGTAGTGACCTTGACAGCTATCCAATTATAATCCGTCGGGTCCTTTCTCCATTTGCACTCTAGCCGTCTCCTAAACCGCTTCAACGCCCGGAGATTCTGGTTAAACCAGTGCGCCGGGCGGCCTCTGCGTTGGAGAGGGCATTTAGGTGCGATCGTGTCTACAGCCCTAGCCGCCGCGGCAAACCAGCCATCAACCAGAGCCTCAACAGGAGCGCCACCAGATCAGCTGTAACACCTCTCATGGCATTCTGGAATCCAGACGGATCCAGTAGCCTTCGAGGGCGGACCATGAAAATAGATCCCTGCTCCCTGCGAGGGGGGAGAGCCACAGAGACGTTACATTTTATTAGGTGGTGGTCTGACCATGACAAGGGGATCGACACAAGGTCAGTCACCATCAGACCACGATCACTCCAATTGGTGGAAAAAACCAGGTCTTGTGTATGACCGCCCATGTGCGTGGGGCCGTTGACATGTTGGGACATGTTCAAGGAAACCATGGTTTCCAGGAACTCAAGAGCCGGCCCAGAGATCTCTGCCTCCGCATGGATGTTGAAATCACCCAAAACCAGTAGCTCTGAAAGCCATTCCTAGACAGGAGAAGGATTAATAATTAGAAGGAAAGTGGTTGATATGGGGAAGATATGGATAAAGGTCTTTAAAAATATATGAACAATATTTATAAAATGTTAAGTATGTTATTCTTTTCTCATTTTATTTGGAATGAGTATATGCAAACACAGTGTGTTTATATTTGTGGCTTAGTCTCCAGGGGAAGATGATCACTAAGTCATGCCTGCTGACTTTGGACAGCTGTTTTTTTCTGGAGTTATGGCAAGAATCCGATATAGAAATAAGACATGTACAAGAAGACTTATAATCCAACAGTAAATTTGTAACACATAAAGCACTCTCTTTGCATTTGGAGCCCAGGAAATCAAACAAACTTTGCTTGCCAAAATCTGTTGTTTTGTTAGAGCCCGAAGTTATTTTTGTTTAATGGTCTCCATCTGTTGAGAGGCATTTGCTTGTTTTGCAATTGTTGGATCTGTTTTTAAAAAGGTTTGCTTGTTTGCTGTGGAATATTTACTATGAAGGTACTTAGTGGCTTTAAGCATATAAATGTATTTAGAAGTGACTTTGCTAACTGCGACCTTCCTGATTGTATATTCCTTGGCTTGAATATATTTCTCTGCAGTCAGTCAGATATGCAAAGCCCAGTAACCCTGCAAAGCTCTGATATCCTTGGCTATTGTTCAAGGGAGCACTGGCAATATGAAGATTGGATTTTGTAATCAAACACTGTAATTCAAAGTACAACTCATATAGAGGCCACTGAGAGTGCAGAATAAATTTTGCTGTAAAGTAATAACATTATGTTGCCACCTAATGGTAGCATCCAAATGTAGGCCACCTTTTAATTTATATACTTACTGACTGGATAAAGTATACAGTTCCTGACTATTTTTTGCTTATACTGTAGGCCTTTTAACAAAGACTTGGCAGACTACTGGATGCCTGTGGATCTGTACATTGGGGGAAAGGAGCATGCAGTGTTGCATCTATATTACGCCAGACTCTTCAGCCATTTTTGCCATGATCAAAAGATGACTAAGCACAGGTTAGTGGGAAAAGCACGGTTATTCAGACCTGAAATAAATATGTAGCACTTTGAGTGTAGTAGAAGAAGAGCCTGGAAGTCACAAGTTATAGGCAGCATACTTACCATTAACTAACTAATCTTTTTGTAATTAGGATGTAAGAAAGTTATACCTTAGATTCTTTACTGGTATAACAAGTAATGCTTTATACTTAAAAAGTTACTTCTCAAAGGTAGTGCAAGGTATTTTCGAAACTTTTTCAGGAATCTCCCATGTTTTATGTCATTCTCTTATCAATCTCAAGGTTTGTGTGGGTGCATGTTTTAAAAAAAGAATGGAAAGTAGCAGAAAACCAAAAAACAGCAAAAAGAGTACTATAACGAGCCAGTTGCTCAACTTACCCAACACTGAAACAAGTCAAATTAATGGGTTATATTTCAAACAATGTAACAGGTAACAAGGGTGAATTACTTTTAAAAAGTAAATTTCCCAACTCTATCTATGTTTTTATAATTTTTCACAAGTGTTTTAATGCCATTTTGCTTGTCTGATAGTTTTTTAAATGTGTTCTTTATAACGTTTTAAAATAGCAATTTTTACAGTATATGATTTTAGTTGACTGTAAGTCTGTTTGCATCCTCTATGGGTAGAAGGGCAGAATGTAAAATAGATAAGATCAGATGAGATAAATAGAAATTTTCTAGAGACAGCAGGATGACAGGTATATTTTACATTGCTTTGCAGTTGTGTTAGACATGAAAACCTTTTAGACACCCATGTGAGATTTGAGATAAATCTGGGAGATTACCATGTGATCAAAAACATAGATGCATTGCCTTTATTGTTTGTCTGACTTCTTGACCCTAATGTAGTAGTGTGGTACACAGGCTGATCTTAAGTAAATCAGGTAGACATGGAGTACAGGGGGACTGCTGCTTCTCACTCACAGGATTCTTCGGTGAAGCTCTGTCTTCAGGCCTTCACTTCTAGTATTCCTTAAGACTGCAGCTGATGAGTATGGAAGTAGGGGAAAGTGACTAAAATCAAAAATTAAAAAAACAGCAAAAAGATTTTTTCCACTGCAAAGAGGCTTTTTCTACCATTGTTTGTTTAAAGTCTTTTAAAACAATACTTTGCCTAAAATGGCTGGCAGAATGGTTCACATACAATAAAAGGCAGGCCCTATTCACAGATTTACAATCTGAAATATCTGGTGCTAAAAGAAAAAGCGAGAGGAAGAAATGTAGGCACCAGCTCAGTAACTTAAATAGCAGCGAATAAAATTGCCAAGTGGAATGAAGTACTGTATAGCCCAGGAAGAAAAGCAGCCTACTGAGGCAGGTCTTTCAGCCAGCCATTTTCCCCATCTGCCATTTTTACAGCCTGATGGAATGGCTGCTACTTATCATGTTACAAACTGAGAACTGGGGTTTCAACTGTGGCAACATCCATAATTCTGTAGAAATGATAGTCTGGCTCATTTTGCTTGTTCTTTGGCTTGTGTCACACGGCAGTAATGAAAAAACCTTGCCTGAGGCCTCCAGACATTACTGGAGTGAGTGTTTTTACTGTGGTGAGAGTGGAATTAGGGAGTACAAAGAGAAAGAATGGAGGCCTGGAAACAGTGGTATATTGGCTTAGTGTGAGCTGGAAAATTGATATAAAGAAGTCCACAAATGGCCATCTAAACAAGGACCAGAATCCAAAACAGTGTTGTAGTACAGATTCTGCTGTGAAGAAGAATGAAATTGAAAGCAGCAAGCTAGTCCAAGTAGGTGACCTGTAAAGGCAATGAGCATGTTTCGCTGTGAGTGACCATGAGAGGGAGCTGTCACTGTAGCCATGCTGATAAATAAATGACAATAAACTGAGCAGCAAGGAGAGAGAAATGTGGTTGCCAGCAAAGCTTGTTCTAACTCAGAACAGCTTGCTTCCCAGACTTCACAGGTTGTTTTTAGCCAGTTTCCCCCTCCTGTTCTTGAATTCAAACCTTACATTCTTAAAAACAAGTACCTGCTTTAAAAAAAACTACCATAGATGGTAAAGTATTCTGTGTTTTCACCAACATCCTTCTCTACAAACAAACATAAATTGAAAACTTGGCTTATAGCAAGCAGACAACAGATGTGAAGTGAAAACCATGTCATCAAAGGATAAACGTTCCTTGAAGAATTGGTTCCAATTTGGAGTTTTACTCATATTTTTTTCCACATTTAGCTGGTTGGTTTTCCCATGTATGGTCAAGAGTGATGTCTTCAAAGAATTTTATTTTTAGTGTTGAGGGGTCTTTGCACGGGATGAAATGTTAATATAACTTCCTTTTACCCTTTGCCATTTATCAGTTAACAACATTTTAAGAGTAATTAATAGTACTTGAGTAAAGTTCTAGTAAGCAATTAATAGGAGCTAAGCAATGATTAGCAGTTTAAGAAGATATACATTTCCTCCCCTTCTCCCTCCCTCTGTTATGTTCTGACACAGAGAACAATTTATCAAATCCTTTCACTTGTGAAATGAGCAAACTCTTAGTGTTCATCTGACTTCTTACTTTATGCTGGTCATGTAGGGGCAGCTGCTCTGTAAGTCCTCCCTGCTCTGGCGTTGTTCATCAGCACAGGATAGAGCTACACTATATTTATTTATCTGTTTATTTAAAATATTTTTCCCCTGCCTTTCTCCTTGAAAAGGACCCAAGGCAGCTTACAACAATGAAAGATAATATTTAAAGGTGAAAAGAATATACAGTGGTGGTTATCATTAAAAGACAATATTTAAAGCTACAAACAATGAATAAAGAGGCATCTTACATCATTAACAGGCAATATTGAATCAGAGATCAGTAAGTATACAAAAATTTAAAAAGGCAACTCTGAGAAGTGGAAAACACAAAAATGGAAAACAAATAGTACTAAAAACCCAGGCAAAGCAGTAATGCATAGCAATCTATCTAAAAATCACACACATGTAGCTGGTTATTGATTGAAAGCTTAACTGAAAAGAAAGGTCTTTGCCTGCTTGCAGAAGGATAGCAAAGATGGGGCCAATCTGGCTTCCCATGGGAGGGAGTTCCAAAGTCTTGGAGAAGAAACAGAGAAGGCCCTCTCCTGTGTCCCCATCAGACGCACCTGTAAAGATGGCGGGATTGAGAGAAAGGCATCTCCTGATGATCTTAACACCTGAACTGAGTCATAATGGGAGTTACAGTCTTTGAGATAGATTTAGACTCAGTCCATTAGGGCTTTATAGGTTAAAACCAGCACTTTGAATTGTGCCTGATAACTGATCAGCAGCCAGTAGAGCTGCTGTAATGGAGGTTATATGATCTCCGTAATCAGCTCCAGTTAGCAATCTGGCTGCTGCACTTTGGACCCATTGAAGTTTCCTGACACCTTCCATCGTCAGGCCCACATAGAGCACATTACAGTAATACAGCCAGGAAGTAACAAGGGCATGTATCACAGTGGCCAGATCAGCTCTCTTAAGAAACAGACGTAGCTGATGGACTAGTTTCACTAGTGCAAATGCACTCCTGGCCACTACCAAGATCTGGGCATCCAGCCTCAGGGTTGAATCCAGAAGCACCCCCAAGCTGCGCACCTGTTGTTTTTTCAATGAGAGTATAATCCCATCCAGTACAGGCTGCATCTCTACAGTATTTCTTGATCTGACCTTCAACTGAGCAGGAGCACCTCTGTCTTGTCAAGATTAATTTTCAATTTATTCACCCTCATTCAGTCCATGCCGAAGTAGCTTCCTCTGATTTAGGTGGCAAGGAGAAGTAGAGTTGGGTGTCATCCACAAGCTGGTGACACTGAACCCCAAAACTCTGGATAATCGCCCAGTGGTTTCATGTAGGTGTTAAATAACATAGGAGACAAAACAGAACCCCGAGGGACCCCACAGGTCAACAGCCAGGGTTTCAAACAAGAATCCTCTGGCATTATTTTCTGAGTTCTCTCCTCCAGGAAGGACTGGAGCCACTGTAAAACAGTGCCCCAAGTTCTATTCCAGAGAGACGGGTCAGGAGGATACTGTGGTTGATAGTATCGAAAGCTGCAGAGAGATCCAACTTAAAGTGTTGAGGCAAAAGTGTCCTGATGCACCCTATGGAACTAGGCACTGGCTGAGTTCTTTAAAGAAGTTTAGCCTTGATTGATGCTACCAATGTAAATCCTCCTTTGTCTCAACCTTTCCACATAAAAATAAGGAATTTCAACATTCCTCTTCTCAAAGATGACAGGGAATTGCCTGACATTCTCGATAGTTTTTGTATAGGTAAGAATGATGTTTTGTGCAAAACAAAATGGTCAGGTCTGTACAATAATTGCCCTTTTTTTTACAGAAAATTGCATGTTTGTCCAAAATCGGTCTGGCTGCTAACTTAATAAAGAATCTGATAGGTTGTCTATATCTTTCTTAGTAAACAGAAAGTCTTTCTTTGTTTACTGTAATGGTGTGCTCCACATCTTAAAGCTCTAGAGAAATTTTATTCTAATTATAGACGCCTTTGAGGGGAAAAAGCAACTCTTTGTCTTACTGTCTGGGCTATAGTCAAGTAATCCTGATGGGCTTAAAGATTCCTCTTGGGCTTTCTTATCTAGTGGAGGCAGCCTAAACAGAAGAGAACAAGGAATTTAAAGTATTCTTTCCATCCCATAACATCCTCAAGAGGGAAGGGGTCCCTGTGGCCCACCAGATGTTGATGGACTGCCTCTTCCCTTGATACACAATTCTTGCTTAGCTAGAACTGATTATACATGACATGTAACAGCATATGAAGAGCCAGAGGTTCCCCATGTATGCTCAGAGAGAGGCCAAATGCAGAGTGAGACTAGTTTTTTCCAAAAAGTTGGATAAAAGTGTAAGTATGGCAGCTCTCCAGGTCTTTATTCCTGGAGTGTTCAACTCCATGTTCCTTACTCAAAACCTATTTGCATAAAGTATGCTTAAAATGTGTTTTGAAAATTATTTGCAATATAATTCTTTCTTTTTCCTTAGGGAGCCTTTTCATAAGCTCTTAGTTCAAGGTCTTATCAAGAGTCGTACCTTCAGGCTGGCAACAACTGGAAAATATTTGAAGAGAGACGAAGTCGATCTTTCTGGTAAATTGGTTTATTATGGGTCTTGTTTTCAGACAGATTCAGAAAAGTAAAATGGGCTTTGGGAAAAGAGACATTTATTTGTGAGAGTAGGAAACCAATCAGGATCAGTTAGCAGATTAGAAATGCAGAGAATAAGTAAATAGTAATAATAATGATCTAGGAGCTAGAAATTAAGAATAGAGTTACAGTGTTAGCATCTTGCTGTAAATACAGTCTTTGATTTTACTAAAGCCCTGGTTTCCAAACTTGAGTCTGACTAACTCTTAGATCCTTGACTACTGGCTGTGCCAGCAGGAGCTTGTCTGACAACACACAGGATAAGCTCTAGGCAGCACATTTCGTACCGGTTTGAGAACCATTGTACTAAACTCTGATACAGGGTTTCCTACAGTGTTATGCTAGAACCCCATGTTGGTCCATGAAACTTTTGAATGTGTGCAACAGGGTGGATGAGTCTTTATCTGGCTTCAGCAGCCTTCCTGTCTGGTTGAGTGTAAGAAACAGGCTAACCAGCTCTGCTGACTACAGTGGTGCCTCGACTTACGAACCTAATCCGTTTCGGAATGTTGGTTGTAACTCAAAATGGTCGTAAGTCGAAACACCATTTCCCATAGGAATGCATTGGAACATGATTAATCTGTTCCAGCCGGGGGAAAAATTACTACAACAACACAAAAACACTGCAAGTCCCATCGGAATGCATCAGGGCCGGGGGAAAAACAAACACCAAAAAGTCCCATCGGAATGCATCAGGGCCGGGGAAAAAACAAACACCAAAAACCAAAAAAACAATGCATGCCCCATCAGAATGTGTCGGGGCCAAGCGGGATATAAATCAAATAAATAAATAAATAAATAAATAAACAAAAAAACAATGTATGCCCCATCAGAATGTGTCGGGGCCGGGGGGAAAATCCCCAAAAACAGAAAAACAATGCAAGCCCCATTGGAACGTGCTGGGGCCGAAAAAAACTGAGATGGCAGTGGTGTCACAGATCATTTCTAGCAGGTTCTTGTGAGGGTTTGAATATGGCCTCGTCTGGCTTCGACATAGACTCAGGGGTCTCTTGTTTTGCAAAATCGAAACTGGGCTTTATTGGAGCTCCAACTTTGTCTCTCATGGCCAACGGGTCCCACGAGGGCATCCAAACATCTTTGGTAAACGGGTTATACTCGTAAGTCATTCCAAGGGCCCTTAGTAAAGGCGTTGCTACTGTCCAGATCAAGAGTCTCAGCCCCTGGGTCTAATAACAGGATAGTCTCTTCATCTCTCTCCTCTGTATCATAGGGGTCTTCTTCTCCTTGAAGGGAACCCACGGTCCGTCAGGAATCCTCTCCTCTGGGCTTCCTCCAGTTGCCATAGCCGTCGCTCCCTTTTGACCGATTCCTTTTCCTCTCAGAGTCTCCTATGCCACTCTCACACCTCCAACTCACCCCAATAGGAAGGTCATGGGGGGAGTCCTCTTCTTCTGCTATAATCCTCCTCCTCTCTAGGCACCTGGACCTTTTCCCATTTCCCAGTCCAAGGGTCTTCAACCTAAATAATCTCCCAACCACCTGGTATCCCGTCTACCCCTCCTTTTATATCCCCTATTCCCGCCTCCATGACAATCCTTCCCCTTTCTTCCCGCCATCTCTCTCTCTGTTTGAGTGGCTACTGTGATTTTTTGACAGCCCCCATTCTAGCTCACGGGTATCCACTCCCCATTGTACAGTCGTGACGGGTGGTGTAGGCGGGTCTGTCTGTGCCTCCTGTTCTTTCCTGAGGGAGGACAACACTCCTGCGAGAGCCTCTACCCTCTCGCCCTGCATTTCACAGTTCTACAAAGGTTTGTGTTTGCTGCTTCCTAGTGAATGAGTGCAAACAGGTGTCAAGGGCTCCCTTGCGACCCAACCCCTGAATCTTTCTAGACTTTTTGAATGACTGAACATATCAAGGCATACAGCAGCTGTGCCAGGCAAGAACCCCCACTACTTCCTTGTCTGGACTAGGGAACATTTAAACCTTTTTCTTTAAATCCTTGGAGCTGCAAAAAAAGCAAAGCCCAATTCCCCACATCCTTAGAGTCACAAAGACGGAAGTACAGTGGGGTCTCGACTTACGAACGACCCTACTTGCGAACAATTCAACTTAAGAACCCGCCTTTTAGGGGAACAGGCAAGAACCCCCACTACTTCCTTGTCTGGACTAGGGAACATTTAAACCTTTTTCTTTAAATCCTTGGAGCTGCAAAAAAAGCAAAGCCCAATTCCCCACATCCTTAGCGTCACAAAGACGGAAGTACAGTGGGGTCTCGACTTACGAACGACCCTACTTGCGAACAATTCAACTTACGAACCCGCCTTATAGGGGAACTAAAGACTCGACATACAAACTTTCCCCGAGTTACGGACAGGAAAAAAGTGCCCCCTCCCTCCCCTTAGAGGCTTCTGGAGGGGAAAAAAGGGTCAGAAACTTTAAAATAAATAAAAGAAAGTCACTTACCAGGCCTTGGTAGCCCCCAAACAGCAGGAAAAAGAGCAGGAAACAGCTAAAAGCCCACACCAGAAGGGAGCCTGGCAGCCATTTTGTGCTTCCCCCCCCTCCTGCACCCTCCTCTCCCCGCCTATCAGCTGATCGGCTGGCTCTGAAGAGGCTTGGGGAGGCTTCCTCAGCACCTAAAAAGCCTGTCTTTCTGCTGAAAAAATCAGCACAACATGCTTTAAAACATGATTTAAAATTGGCTTCAGTGGAAAAAAAAAGATTTCTAAAGTGCTTTGCAAACTGTTCCCTGCCTTCCACCGTTTCCTGAACCTAAGGGGGAACCTAGTGGCAGAAGGCGGAATAGCAGCTTCCCATTAGTTTCTATGGATGGAAAAGAGCAGATGCAGATTAAATGGTTTTCAATGCATTCCTATGGGAAATGCAGATTCGACCTACGAACGTTGTGACCTAAGAACCACCTTCCAATACGGATTAAGTTCGTAAATCGAGACCCCACTTACAGCAGTATGTAACCAGCCAGAAGGCACTGTGTTTAGAATTGAGGGAGTGGGGATTATTTTACTCATGCACATTGACACACAAAATCGATGGAGAAAGATTTCTGTTGCATTTAGGAGAAAATTAAAAAGAAGATCAAATTACAGAATCACAAAAGAACATTCTATGTAGGCAAGTCAAAACAAGAAAGCTAATTTTTGTAAACGATACTACATGCAGACAGGCTGCACTGAAACAGGTAGTCAGGATACAGAAACAGAGTATCCACAGAATGCATTTTCAGAGTGAGAGCATAGGCAGAGGTGAGAACTAAGCTAAAGGTGCCTGGTCTGCTTTTACTGTCGGAACCTTATAGTAACTCAGGTAAAACTCAACAACCCATCATAGGCATTAGAAGTCAGAATTTTCCTGAACTTTTGGGTATGTGCTTCTTCTTGCGAAGGTTGTAGCTGAAGCAGTTAGCAGACCTTACCAAGTAACCTTGGCAAGTCAGAAACATGGATAATGCAAATCCACTAACAGAGCACAAGCCCCTAAGCTGTCATGCTGGAATTCTGCTAAGAACCGAGAAGAAAGGCAAAGAGATCAATTTCTCTATAGGAGGCAAATGGTGATTTGTATGTTAATCTGTCTCAGAATGGGGATGGACAAACCAGTCTGTACCCAAGCTGTGTTGTTTTCATATTTATTCAATCATAGGTCTGATTACCAGACGGTCTGGTTTCCACAGCAGTCTGAAGATTCAGAAGCAGAGCTCGGAAAATTTACCTTTTTGAATTACAGTTTTCAGAATCCCCCTTCCATGGCCCTGCTGGCTGGAAGAGCCTGGACACTGTACTTCCTAAAATATCTTCTCCATATTCTGCTGAAAACAAACATGTGCCATACCGCCCAGAGCAGACTTTGGTCTAGATAGGCAGAATATTAAATAAATAAATATTAAATAAATAAAATAAATGCATTTTTAAAGACAGTGTGAAATGCCCATTTTTGTATGCAGATTTTGAACTGTGAACTTCATAACAACGTTTTTAGAAGTACACAGTGTCTAAAAGGTTTGTGTGTTCCAGTCTGCATATAAATCAGGGGAAGTATGAGTCAGATTGCTTAAAACTAATATATAATCTTAGAACTGCAGAGCTGGAATGGAGCAACGAGTCCAGTTCCCACAAGGGGGAATCGAACTCCCAACCTCTGGCTCCACAACCAGATACCTAAACCACTGATCCAGCAGTTCTTATCAGCTGAACATATTGCTAGATGAAAGAATAAGATACAGTGGTGACTCCACTTACGACCATAACCTGTTCCAGAAGATGGACGTAAGTCGAAATGGTTGTAAGTCGAAGCACCATTTCCCATAGGAATGCATTGAAGCCCCATTAATCCGTTCTGGCCAAAGAAAAAAATCACCAAAAAAAGCACTGCAAGTCTCATTGGAAACGCAATTAATCCTTTCCGGCTGGGGAGGGGGGGAAGAAAAGCAATCAAGTGTGCAAGACCCTTTGCAAATGCACAGAAAACAAAGGGAGCAGATTGGGAATGCACAGAGAACAGAGGGCCAAGGTCAGAAATGCACAGAAAACAAAGGAAAAAGCAAGGGAAGGCATGTAGGAACCATCAGAAATGGGGGGAACCCCCAAAAAGCAACCAAACCTTCCAAGACCCATCGGAAATGGGAGGGACCCAACAAACCCCAAAGACCCATCACAGCACAGAAACATAACGCCTCCAGCCTAAGACCACGCTGCAAAAAACACAGTTTTTAAAAAGCAGAAAACAGCATCTTACCTTACCTAACAGGCAGTCCCAAACCTCCCTGCAAATACACGCATGCTCACTGAGAAGCAAAAGCCAGGGAGTCCCTCCTCAATCACATTCACTCTAACTGTTGGGGCGAAAGAACTACAAAGAAGCAGCCTCTTTTGCCATCTACAATTAGCAATTTGAATTCTTGCCTTTTTTCCCTGCCTTTTTCTGTTCATAAATAGAAGCTCCGGTCGCAAGTAGAAGCAAAATTTTGCAGCTGGAGCTGTTCGTAAGTCGAATTGGTCATAAGTAGGGACGTTCGTAAGTGGAGGCACCACTGTAGCTGAGACTGCAGGAAGAAACCCCTCCTGTATATCAAATAAGAGTGAAACATGCATATTGTTAAGAATTGGGTTGTGCGTAGATCTTACATGGTTGACAGTGTTGAGTTGAAATGAGATGAGCTCTTTACAGAGGAGGAGGAATGCAGTGCTAAAGTGCAAGAAATTTTTTACTCTTTTCCCCCTGGGCATGTACGTATATGCTTCATGCATATAAATTCTTTTTTATACTTTGAATTGGAATTGTAATAAAAGACATTGAAACCAATTTGCTCCTCCTCTGTTGCTTTCTTGAAACATGTGACGCTGCTCCAGACTTTCAGAAATAGAAAATCCATTTTGAGATAGGGATTTTGTCACTTTTGGAAGTCACTGTTTTGTGGAGGTCACTTAGCAAGATATGTCAGAGAAGTTAGGCTTCTCAGATCTATATCCAGTTATGACTAGCAATCAAGGTAGACTCATTGCATGGTAACACTTATGTAAATCATAGCTATTCATTGAGTTTGCTCCAGTTGAGACTAGCAGTTGGAATGTAGTCTATAGACAGCAGTCCTTTTTTATTACCGTCAAGAGTAGCTTTTGCCAGCCCCAACTCTCATTACTTCCCATCCAATAAATATAAAAATAAATGAATGAATGAGATTTTCATTTCACCTGGTTTTCAAATCCCTATTAATGTATGTTTTAAAATATTTCTGCAACTAAGTTCCTTTTGAAGTTTACAGAGCAAAAAAAAGTTCTGGTTTCTGTATATGTATATATTTAGGTCCTGAACCTGTTCATGCAAAAACCAAAGAGAAGCTGCAGGTGGTATGGGAAAAAATGAGCAAGTCCAAGCACAATGGTGTAGATCCTGAAGAAATAGTCCAGAAGTATGGAATTGATACAGTTCGACTCTACCTGCTGTTTGCTGCCTCTCCAGAAAAAGACATCTTATGGGAAGCAAAGAGTAAGGTTTTTTCTTGTTACCAACACTTGATTTCTTAATTTGTGCTCAAACTGGGGGGAAAATACCTTTAAGACATTAAATGGCGGGGGTGGGGTGGAATTCCATGTTCAATCTGTTTGCTCAACTTCCTCTTTTTTGTTGCTGCACTCCAGACAAAATGTCTGGTTTGGAGGATTTCTATTGGTTTTTTCACATTTTGATTTTTTAATGCTTGAGCTATCAATTGCCACAGGAGTCTACTGTATGCTATTCACATCCGGCTCTCTTGAGCTTGCTGGCTTAAAGCATGACAGATGAGATAATGTGATAGGTCTCTTCTCAGTCTTTATTTCCCCTTGAAGGTGTTATTAGCACTGATGCAGAAGAATACAAGTGTGATACAGGTGTTTGTATTTTGTTCTTCCTCCTGTAGGCCTGATGGTGAGAGTACTGTACTTTAGACCAGAGTGTCACCTATTCCCCCCCCCCAGAGCTACTGCTGTCACCAAAATCAAAGCTTCCTGGTATTGCTTTAAAATTTAGGCATAAATAAAAGAAATGAGCATCTGACAACAAATGGCCTGTCTTGTAGCCACTTTAACTGTTAGAACATTGTGCTGTGATTTTTCTTTGGTTTGTTCCACCTGGCAGAGTTTGAAAGCCATATTGAGTGGCTTTTGGGTGGGTAGGGAGGAGATGTTTGGGATGCTGTGAGCGATAAAGAGAAGACTTAAAATTAGAGTGCTTTCAAAAACAGGCTTTGCAGTGTCAATGTGATAATTCAGTGAGCCTGGTGGTGCATGTAAAAAAATTGCACATGCATATGTTTGCACCAAGGGCCCCAATTTTGTGTCCCTTTAGGTTTACAGTTGAGAAAAGGCATTTGTTTCTTCAGTGTATGAGAGAGTTAGTTAACTGGATAACATTAACATTCTAAATTTAATACAACTTAATAACTCCCTGGTTAAATGTGGTTAGGATTTCTGTCTGAATGTAACACTCTGGTCTTAAACCAGATTTAAGAGACAAATCTCACCGATCTTTCTGAAGAAATCTATTTCCAGGAGCTAAATCTAATTGCTTGTCCCGGATTGAGTAGATCTTCAGAATTAGTAGGACAGATTCAGGAGGCCTAATGTAGCAGATGGATTTAGGCTGAGGTCTGTCTGAAATCTATTCTGAAATCAGCTGTTCTAGGAGTAATAATGAAGACGGCTATTGATCTGTGTTCCATAGTGCTGCTGAGTTATTCCTGTTATCTTCTTTTTGCAAGCTGTACCATTTGAAGCTGTATCTTCCTCTTTGATCTCCATGGCAAGAGAGTATTTATTTTAGTCATCACTTTGCATCAAAGTGTAAAAGTGACATTCTTGGCAAACAGTTTCGCCACTGGCCTTTCAGTCTAAATATTTGAAAAAAATATTGCATAGCTGCTACAGGATTAAACCCATGGATAACTATTTAACATGTCATTTTTCACTACAGAATGTATGATGATTGTAGAAGGAAGTTAATCTCTCCACTAAAAGGTGTCTCTCTACCCAGTTGTTTGTTTAGTCGTTTAGTCTTGTCTGACTCTTCATGACCCCATGGACCAGAGCACACCAGGCCCTCCTGTCTTCCACTGCCTCTCGGAGTTGGGTCAAAATCATGTTGGTAGCTTTGGTGATCTGAGCTGAATTCGCCCATTCCTGTCCATTTTAGTTCACTGATGCCCAGGATGTCGATGTTTATTCTTGCCATCTCCTGTTTGACCACCTCCAGCTTCCCAACGTTCATAGATCTTACATTCCAGGTTCCTATGCAGTATTTTTCTTTGCAGCATTGGATTTTCCTTTCTCTTCCAGGCACGTCCACAGCTGAGCGTCCTTTCGGCTTTGGCCCAACCACTTCATTAGCTCTGGAGCTACTTGTACTTGTCCTCCGCTCTTCCTCAGTAGCATGTTGGACGCCTTCCGACCTGAGGGGCCCATCTTCCAGCGTCATATCTTTTAGCCTTTTGTTTCTGATCATGGGGCGTTCTTGGCAAAGATACTGGAGTGGCTTGCCATTTCCTACTCCAGGTGGATTGCGTTTAGTCGGAACTCTCCACTATGTCCTGTCCGTCTTGGGTGTCCCTGCACGGCATAGCCCATAGCTTCTCTGAGTTACTCAAGCCCCTTCGCCACGACAAGGCAGCAATCCATGAAGAAGC